TGCCCCCCCCCCCCCTCCTCTCCTAGTAATGTACTTTTTGAGGGATGATTTGAATTGTGGAATGGAGCCTTGATGCCTCTCTAGTGTGTATTCCGATGCCACCTCATTCCAATGATTTGTTTGTTGGTACAGGGCTAATCTTTGTGTACACTGATTGTGTACCGGTGTGTATCGAATCAGAGGTCACTAACTTTGTAAACAAGCACATTACCACTGAAATACTCGGAAATGCCCATTTTCATTGGGCACTATAAATCTACTTATATATCAACGTTAAACAGATTTAGTTAAGAAAAGCTTCATCATCTGGAATGAGTTTTCAGTAAGCATCTTAATCATGCCATTAACATTCTGACGTCATTTTTATTGAAATTGGGCTCTTCCAAACTTTATTTATTTCAAATGGCAGGCGTTATGATAGGTATCATTAGTCCTTTAGTTGACTTCGGGCTTCACAGAAAGGAAGATGAACATCAGAGTGGCAAAAAGTCGAGAGGGGGACAGACACAAAGGTAGAGAAAAGGTAAGGTAAGATGAGTACTGTGAAATTATTCGAATATGAAATCCAGTGGGGTCATGGTAGTTTGAAGTCCGAAGTCAACTGCCGGTTAATAGACTTTTTTGCCGTATGAGTATACGTTGCTCAGGATGCACCACGTGGGGGTAAGTCTATCGCACACCCCAGGCTCTTCCAAACTTTGACTTCTAATTTGATTGATATGTACATTGACCTTTATGTCACCCCCCCCGTGCGAAGGTGTTCTGTATGTTGATACAACATCAGCCACGCGTTAAACGACATGTCATTTAGTGAATCACTGCTTCCGTTTATCTATTGCAAGTGAGGTGAAACATGAGGACAAAATGATCAAAATTAAGTGGTATTAGTCGATTGACGCAAATATCTATCTCATGGTTAAATTTTTTATTAGTTCTTTGTAGCTAAAATTACTCAAATTGACTTGTTTCCTCCACTCTCTCCACAATACTAGGAGTCGGATTCATTGTCTTGGAAAATATGAGTAGGTACAAATATACTTTCTTGCATTGCTACATCGCTATTGGTTTATGCACCAACTATTTCCCCTCCACGGGGGGGGGGGGGGTATTTGTTTCAAATGATAAAACTAGCAAAAAGCCTATTAAGAAAGTAGTAATGCTTAGTAAAGCATCGATGCGTCAACATTGAGCTCTATGCTAAGCATAATAAGTAGTATGTACATAGCAAGAACCAAACTTCAGAAATTTGCAAAATCCTAAGTTTTATTTTCATAATGGAGGGGGGGGGGGTATAAGAACTCCTTATGTTTCTTTGGTCTTTCTTGGATTTCAGTTCCTTGGCAGCTCCCCGTAATTAGTGCTAAAGTACATTACTGAAATGTAATCCTTGTGCCTATTCTAATTATGGTATCATGAAGGTAATTTTCTTTATTTTGCTTATTGCAGGTCCTCTTGGCAACACATCGGCGGACTTTTGGGAGATGGTTTGGACAACTGGCGCCTCTATCATCATCATGCTCACAAAGTTCGTTTTGTTTTAGTTCTATTTTTTGCCTTATCTAATCAAAAGGAGGATTGTGTCAAGGGATCAAATTTTGGGTAGAAGAAGAAGAAGAAAACGAAAGACGCCCCCCTATCGCTTTATTATGATTCTCAAATATCGTAATAATTAATAGCTTTCTGCCGTGTTTTGGGGCTTCGCTTTCAATGTGATTGACCTGCAGTTGTTGGTGGATGTTCCTCTTTAAGAGCGCAGACTTTTTCTTACTTGGGCTCTCGTAATTACATTTTTTGTCGAATGGTTCTACTTTTTTGTGATGGCAAGAGGAATAATCCACCTGGAATTGTCCAGATATTAAATATTGCATAATAGTGCTATCTTCGCTCTTATATTTATTGCAAGCCAGGATTTACACCGTGGAGTGATCTTTGATCATCAAACGTTTCCCCTTGCCTCCGGAACCCGTTCTTTCCTCTAGATTGCAGATTAGGACTTTTGGAATATCATATTGGCCTTGTGTTTCTCGTTGTACTTTAAGTGGTTTCCATGTTTTTTTAGCGTTTCTGTAAATTGTATGATTTTAGGCCCACACCAATACGATCCTCAATGAAGTTGAGGAAGTTGAACTGTTGAGTTGATTGAGTAATGAAAAGGAATTCTAGAATTTTTATTAACTTGTATTTGGTCTTTGCAACATTTTTTTCTAACGGTCCAAAGTTCAAATTTTTGGATCTTTCCTTGTTTTTTTTTGTTATAAATTTTTTTTTTCAATTAAAAGACCTCATTCATACAACCTCCCCCCCCCCCCCCCCTCCCTTAGAGATGTTAGTAAGGAAAATTATCTTGAAGCCAATGTTTATTGATTTGAGTCATGTTAGGGCGGAAATGAAAGTATGTAAATTTTTTTCATTTTTCTTTTCACTGACGATATTAAAACGCTGTCTTGGCGCCTCTGTTATTTTAGAAATAGCGTTTTCTTACCAACCTACATGTTTTTTGTTCTGCGGTGAATGGATATTACTTTATAAAGTTCTAAAATTCCTAAATATGGTGTTTCGTTGCTAAATTTGTGAATACTTTGGGATAGTATAAGCCGTCCAACTTACAGTCATTTGAAGTCTGGTTGTGTTAAATCAGGTAACAAGACATTTAGGCGTTAAGTTATTGCAGCTCTGTATTAATCGTACTCATCTTTTTTTGAAAAATTTCTGATTGAAATGTCTGTCTAACACGCTTCCTTGAATATAATTTATTAAATGGAATTTGGGATCTTTTGAAAATGATTGTTGTTAGGATCTCTTCTTGAGACATCAGTTTGTGTTTTTGGGTCACTAATATTTTTGGTCATACGTCTATTCTGTTCACAGATTCAATTTTCGCAATATTCTGTTCATTTATCTCACAAAATCCAAAATCACATTATTTTTGAAAATTGTTCCAATTTCAAGTCTTTCCTAATTTCATTGACCTGTCATTAGATTAGGCGGAAGTATTGGGTTTGTATGACCCAATGCTTACTCTCATTACCGCATATGGGAAATATTACCATGAAACACCAACCAAGCTGAAAGCTACAAACTCGAATGAGACCAGAATCTAGACTGAGCATTTTATTCACAGCGTTTTTTCTTCATATCCTTTATTCACCTCTTGTTCTCGCTTATATTTGCAGTTGCATAATCACTGACAATGTTAACGAATCCTCCTATTTTTGCTAACTCTGATGATCTCTTCTTTCTCAGAGTCGTAGAAAATGGCAGAGTAAAATGCGAGCAGTACTGGCCTCCTCTTGACTCAAATCATGGCCAGTCAACCCTACGATTCCCGCCTTTTACAGTTACAAACACCAAACAAACTCTTGAGTCAAATGGCCTTTATCAACTCTCGCGACTTACACTGGCTAAGACTAATGTGAGATATCATCCATTTTGTAAAGCCTCCTCTACTCAAATTATTTAAGTAACTCATTACTTTTTAGTGTGGAGAGTTGCGTAAATTTGATCACTACCTCTTCCTCGGTTGGCCTGATTTTGACGTTCCTAAAGAATCAAAGGGTTTCCTCACCTTCCTAGATGTTATTAATGAACGTCAACGACAATTAATGTCCAATGGCCCTCTTATAATTCATTGTTCTGCTGGCATTGGACGAACAGGTGTGCCTCAGCCTAACTACTTAAACAGCTTTTAAGTAAACTAATGTTAACGTGTTTCTGCTTGCAATTTAGGTACATTTACAGCAATAGATATCTGCTTAGCACAGGCGAAAAATGAGGGTTATGTAGACGTTCCAGGTGTGGTTTCTCGGATACGTCAACAACGGGCTTGTTCAGTCCAATTGGCAAAGCAGTACGCCTTTGTCTATCAAGCCCTCTACACCCGATTAAAAGGAACATTAAAATGAGTGTGCTAATACTTGTCATTTCCCTGTATATTATTACTTAAACTTCGTTTTTTTCTCTTAATTTCTCACTGAACGTTTATTTTCGTTTGGTTTTGGTTTTTTCCTTTATTATTATTATTGTGCTTCAGACAGTCATTCGCTGATCCGACGGATGTGAAATGGTAAAATGCAGATCAGAGTGAATTTTTATTAATCCGTTCGTTTTTTTTCTTGCATTTTCAGGCAACTAAAGTAATTGATTAGAAAATCTCGGGTTGGAAATTTAGGATAATCTTGATGTAGTTGCTTATTTAATTATCTTGAAGGTCATTGACATGAACGTACTAAGAATAAAAATTGCTCACTACACTTCAAGGCACAAAGAAAAGGCCATTTGGATCACATTCGAGATAGAAAACAGTATGTAGTAGTTTTAAATACTCATATGATTACTAACTACAGAAGTCTTAATTAAGATAATACTTTAACGAGACGCATGTAAGAGGATAAGAAATGTAGGGAGAAGAAAGGATAAAGGGCATGGAGGGGCTGTAGAAGAAATAACAATCTGATGACATTGGAACTTTGTGGGCCGAGAAGAGTTTTGGTGGAAACGGTAAGCGTTAGAGGCGGGCCGGACAAGGTTGCCTCAGGTTCATATGAACCCTATACGAATTTGTAATAGTAACACACAATATGAGAACCCGAAAGTGAAGATAGGGCTGAAAGCATAACGATTAAGGATTTCGATACAGGAGTTTTGAAGGACGACGGAATCGAACATTTCGATGGCGCCCAGAAATGCCCATCCAGTTTGTTGATAAGAAAACGTGTTTAGGAAGTTTGATGGTAAAAATTTACCAAAAAACAAGTTCCATACTGACGGTTTATAGAATACCCGATAAATTTTACTATTGCCATTTCTAATGATTGATTCTTATTAATAGATGCGCCTGAGAAAGCCATTCTTTTTCATTGATGAAATGTTAGGCTTATAGGCAAACCCTTCTTCTAGAGCGATTTGTCTTGTTAAATTATTGATATCTATGCTTAATGATCTAAAGTTAACTTGGTTTCCATGGGCAATAATCCAGGTCGTTTTTGGTGGGATACAGTTCAAGGTATCTAGTGGATTCGGGTCGCCAGGTATCTACAAACGTCTGCTTCCCAGCATATACTATTTATCACGACTCTTTTTAGTTCAAGGTTCGAAATATGTGCTCTCTTATCTTACATTTACACTGACTTCATCATCATTTATTAAGTTCGTTTACTTTTAACACCGTGTTCGTACTTACTTAAAGAGTTACAGCGATATGATTGCTTTCGGCATTATAACTAACTTGATCGAGAGAGGGCGTATTTTTCCCTATGCGAAGCAAGAAAAGGAGGTGATTAATGCTGATACACTTTTGCCTTCTTAACATATTTCAGGTAATCGATTCAAATTATCAGCGTCCTTATTAAATAATAATAAAAAAATTAAACAAAGTCGGTAGCTGTTATAATTTCGATTAGAGGCACTAATTGGTTTGGGCTCTTTGAATCCATGACAGCATTTTATGCTGGCAGAAAAGCGGAATTACAACGGAAGTAAAGTGATACGTAGTCGTTTAAAACGTCTGTTTTTAAAGAATTCAAGGGTCCGAGTTAATCATTTTAGAAATGTTGTGGTCGTCTACAACTCTATAAACTAAACAGATCGTATTAACAAGCATACATTAAAGTGTATATCAAACCTCCGACGAAGACTCTAAGAAAAACTTCATCACTTTCAAGACCATAATGATAATACCCCACCTTCACTGCTAGATTTATGAATTCCAGTCTCTCTCACCTTCTGCTATGAACTTCTAGCCCTGATGGGTCTCATAAAAGTGTTACCATGGTCATATCATTAACTCTCTACTTACCCATTGCAGCTTTAACTTCAGTGTCCAAAAATTAAGTCCCCCTCAGCAGAATTCGAAGAACTCGCACAGTCGTAGATAAGATTGGAATGGAGGTGAACATTAATTATAGGATAGAAATTTCGCCTTCACAATTTGGCTCATACTACATTCAGTAGTTAATCATTACCTATGTTTGACTTGCTCACAACCACTTTGGCATTGAGATAAGGAGAATACTATTATTACTAATTATCTATGATTTATTAGTCACATTCATCATCAGGTATGCATCAGTAATTAATTTGCAAACTTGGGATAAGTTAAGGTCATTGCTACTGGAAAATTTCGTCTCCTTAAAACACTGACACAATACTTCGTACGTAACAGATGTGACATTCATCGGTTTAATCTATGACAAAGAATCTACTCCATTATGGGTTAGATATTGATGGAACCGAAATTAGTGAAGCTATTGCGTATAATGGGCGAGTACATACTTTATTCAGACGAACACACACTAGCTTTGCAGGATCTATACCATATGACTTACAAAATCATTAAAAATTGCGCAAAATTTTTAAGTTTAAATTTCTAGAATCTGCTAGAGTGAAAAAAGCGAAGACGAATTTCATATGGGAAAAATCTTATTATATGATAAGAAGTATTCCATATAACAGAGCAAATTTGCTTAAAAATAATGAACTACATTAAATAATTTGCAATTATTTAAAACCAGTCATTTTTATATTTGCATGAGTACATTTATCATTAAGTTAACTCTTGCAAATATATTATACTAAAAGAAATGGATAAAAACAATTGGTAAAAATTACAAATTACGTAAAATAAAATTTGTTGCAAGAAGCGCAGGGTTATAGAAAAAAATAATAAATTTGTTTAAATGTTTTATTTTGGCTATCTTGCGCAAGAAGGAATAGCGAAATATTTTAAGCAAAGCTGGTCGGTTGTGCGTACACGTTGCGTCATGACTTTCGTTTCGGTCTTGGCTGTATTTGGTTCAAACGGAACTGAAAACAAATCTGATAAGTTTCAAAAATTGTTTTATGATGGTAAGTTGGCAAAATCAATAATAATTCTTCATATTATTTAACCACATTTCATTAGTTATTCATATCTTATCACTAATAACTTTTAATATTTTTCGAAGAGATATTTTCTTAACTTTTAAAAATTCCCTAGGTCTCATTACTGCGCTTGGAAGTTATGCTTCTGATGTTGATGCAATCGTGGCCACGTCCTCACCAATTGCAGATTTAAAAGAAACTGAAAAATGTAAGTTAGATTTCTTAAAAAATAAGACGGTTTAACTCGATCAGTATATACTAAAACTATTATTTTATTATTGACAGTCATTGTTGTGATTTAAAATTGATCCAAAGTGCTATTATGTTTGGGTATTTCTGACAGAATTTAGTGATTACACGGCTAGCATATTGCCATTAAGCTTTTTCAATCCCAACAATTTTGGCATTAAATCTGCATTTTACGCCTTATTTTTTCCACATTGAAATTTTAACTTTTGTTCTCGTTGTTGCTCATTATACACCATTTATTAATGTTCTTCAAACGCAAGATTTCCCTCGAGCTTGAGCAAACCTAATTTTCGCTTGATCTAATTAGTCTTAAATTGTACCATGTCCTTCAAAATCCAATTTTTCTTGCAATTACTGTACCACTTTCGTAACTAGATTAAACCCTTCTGCCTGCCCCAAATCCCATCCTTTCTCCCTCTTTGGATAACTTTCCTTTTTGAAGCTTAAATATGGTAGTTGCCGTTATTAGTGATTTAATTAAAATTTTTGACATAATTTTTTTCCTTCTGAACTTCTACCCGTTAAATCGAAAACATTTGACTTTATAAATGAATTCCTTATTAAATTGAGTGCTTATTCATTGTTCCTTTTCATCTTTAGGATTGTTAGTTAATTTTATTGCTCGTGAGCTGAAATTTAATTTTATCTGGTGACTTGGTTTTGCCAAATCACCCTGTTCTGTAGAAAAAAACTTAGCTCAATTACAGTTCAGTTGCTTTCATGATGAGGTTAGGTGGTCTGGCACCTATAATTTTTGCGGTTTTAGAACTTACGCTCTGATATAAATTCCATAATAAAATCATAAATTAAATCATTGGAATAATTTGAGCATTTCACTTATATGTGTGTTAATTGATTGTTATAAAATCTTCATAATGGTTCAAAATTCCAGTACAAATTCCAGTATTTTTCCAAAAGATTTCTTTTTCTTCTTGCATAATCTCTAAAGCGCACGATTTAGTCTCTTGCATTGAATTCCATCTTCTTTCATTTGGTCTGATTCGTGTTTTCTAAGTAATCTCTCTCTCTCTCTCTGGTCATAATTTTCCATAGATGACGGATCTAAGAAGTCTGTATGGGATTTTCTATCCTTTCTATCCAGCAAATTTTCGTTTTTAAGAAAGTGAAGCGTGGAAAAAATATGGGGATCTGGGGTGCAACCTTCTTTTCAAGTATAATTGACTTTCTACCTGCTTGGTCTCCTTCATTACGTTGGTTTGTTTCATCTGAGTAGAAAATTTGTACGTATTCATCCCTATTCTGACTCATTATTCATCCATAATGCTTATATATTATGTTGAATGATAGGAATTGAGATGTTTGCAATATCAACTTAACAGAACTAAAGAGTTCCATTAGCTGGTTAAATGACGACTAACCTGTGCTAGTTCTATGGTTAATTATTTTCCTCCATCTAAGAAGGGTATGACATGTACATCCGAAAGAATGACACCGAACGGAAGGTTGAACATTTAATAAGAAGGTGGAATAAGGCCATAAGTTTGCTCACCGACACCAAATCTCTCTACTCATTTCACTTCCAGTTTCGTGTTCGACCTTGAAGCTTCCTCAATTTTCCACTGGTAATGTTAAGATATTACGAGTTGTGGAATAGTTAAAGAACACATAAAAGAGCTAGTCCAATGTTGAATGTGTTCTGTTTGGTCTTCAATGAGCTGCCGGCTTCCATTTGGCTTTTCGTGGCCCCTGGCTGTGTCAAGACTGAAATGTCATCTCTCTCTCTCCTTTTAATAGCGCCTCTTCCACGCGGGATGACTAAGAAGGTAGGTGCGTGTTTGTCACTCTAATGCACCCAGCCCACACAAAGACTTGTAGGCTGGGGGGGGGGGGCGTAGGGCAAGCTTCTTTCCTTTCTCTCCCCTCCTGTGTGCGTAGTGTATGACTAATTAACGCAGCAGTCCTTTTTTCTTCTGCTACTGTATAAATCAATTTCCATTCAAACAAAGAGTGGGAGGACGCATGTACTCGTCACAGAAAGCATTATATGCCCAAATAGTGTCGATTTGTGTAATCTAAACGTACATACACTACCATTCATCCCTCCTTTCCTCATCGTCGCATTTCCTGCTTTTTTTGGGGAGGGGGGGGGGAGGGATTTCTAGATGCATCTGACAAGTCAGCAAACTGGGCAAATGTATTGCGTGTGTGTTGTTAGCGGTAGGAAAGTGCAATCTGGACAACAGCGTTTTGAATTGGCGACGCAGTTTGTGACTCATTCGCTTAGAATCTTCAGAATTGCCCATTGTAAAATCGCTTTCAATTCCTATTATGAGGCAAAAAAAGGAAAGTGATTATTTTTGAAGGGGAAAATTCGTATTAGGCCTCCACATCTTTAATAAAGCTGAAGCAATACAGTGTACCAATGATACGAGGCAAGTGGAAATATGCTTGCTAGAAGTAGAGAAGGGAGTGAAAGTTGAAAAGCGGGGACTTCTTTTGATCCCAACGGTTATCATTACACCTTACCACTTAAGTGCTCCAATTACGAAGCGTTTGATTTGTTCGTCTGCGCAGTCAGAGATAAAGCGTTCAATTCTTTTATCTTCACAGCCCTTGAGGGGAATGGCTAATCACGCTGAGTAAGTTGGAGTAATGAGTGCAGTGAGTACATTCGAGTTTCCTTTCAGAGGGCTCCACGCTGCTATCTCGTGTTTAATCGTCAGAATTCTGGAGCGTTCCTAATCTCGCGCATAAAGCGCTGATGATAATGAGTCTCTAACAGAAACTTGCTTTTTAGGAGTTAGAGGTAAAATTGAGTTCAAAGTGTGAATTGAAATTTCAGCGGATATATATTCTACATTTTTTGTTGTATGCGGTAGAGATTCACACACAATGAGTCAGCAAAGACATAACTTTTTTATGCCCTGCCATCACATGCACTTGCACCATTGCATTGAGTATGTGCTATTTTTTATCTTCCCTTCCACAACCAATGGCAACCGATGAGGCACGAGTAGGGTGACGCACACTCACACACATACAAAGGTCTCTTGGTTAGAAATCATGGACGAGCAAAAGAGAGTCATTTCCGCCATTAACACTTTTGTTTTGCGCAGACGGAAGCAAAAGTTAAGAGCGTTGCTTCTTGCTTTTTCTCTTTTTATAGGCTTATTGGCTAACTGTCAAGGTCACACTGCTATCCAACGTTAGTTTCCACTTTCTATTTTTATAAACGGAGGGGCGGTGTGTCGCATTGTAGTTGGGATCTTATTCGTTTCCTTTTCTTTATATCGTTAAAGAAAGACATTTCAGAGACATTTATTTATGTCAACGTCCAATTGATGGCGATTGGCTATTTAAATCTCGGATGAAATGGAGATGTGTAGATGTTTAACTGGGATAGGCTTGAGCGGAAAGCGGGGGTTTCTCTTGGAACCCAATGTTCATAAGGCTTTTTCTTCTGGGATCTTTGAGGATGTTAAACTTTGCTGAAATCAGTTTGATGGCATCACCAAGCATACATTTTTAAAATCGCTTCACCTCTTTACTCTTTGCTGTAAATATTTGATCAATGTCTCGCTCATTAACCCTGGGA